TGGTAATGACGGGTGGGGTAGAGATGGTCACAGTGGCTGGTGTGGTAGTGAGAAGTGGGTAGAGATGATTGTAATGGTGTTGTAATAAGGGGCAGAGTAGATAGGGTTGTACTGGTTGGTGTTATAATGAGGGGAGGGGTAGAGATAGCTCCTATTGTAATGAAGTGTAGAGATAGTTCTGATAGCTGATCTTGTAATGAGGGGTCAGGTAGAGATAATTGTGAGAGCTGGTATTGTAATGTGGGGTAGAGATGGTTGCGAGAGCTGGTATTGCAATGAGGGGTATAAATGGTTGTACTGATTGGTGTTGAATGGGTAGTATCACAGACTTTATCCTCTGCTTGTGCAGTGTATCCTTTTCTCATTGTTTGAACTGTCTGTTGTAGGTAATCCCTGCAGATCATGATGTTCAGATGATGCTGAAACAGTACGAGGACCACAAGGAGAAGATTATGCATCCTGTTTGCAAAAGATCTGCTACATGAAAACTACATGTAACTAGACGATCAATAACTTAAACCTTTCTCTTTACAATGGATGCTGTACAACCAAAACTGACACAGTGCTTCTAGGTTTGTTTTGCCATGAGCTCCCACTCAGGACATTGTGGACCAGTTGGAATGAATCCCAGCTTATTTGATGATAGTTTAGTTGTCATGTTATTGGAGGCTTAATTATAAACGCTTGCCTTGTTGGCATTGCTATTGAATGACTTCATGCTTGGATTTGAAAGTGTACTGGCTGTTACTCATGATCAGAGCTAGTTGTCTGTCTGGTACTATTCCCTGGCCATTGGAAATGTTACATTCCACACTTTATTGTATAATTGGACAGAGAAGGCGGCTATATGATTTATGCATTCTTCAAGTAATGTTGTTAGGGTCAAGCAGCAAGCATTATGTTTATCATGTTTCTTAAGATAAGCTCAACATCTACTTAAAGTGCAATGCAGAATTTACAGAAATCAGCCATTTGGCCCAACTAGTCAGTGTTTAATGCATGTGAACTTTGTCCCACTTTGTCCATCTCCCCTGTGTGCAGGATAAAGCTTGAACAAGCTTACAAAAATCAGTTAGGTGAAACCTATACACAATCCCAGCTGGATTTATTATGTGTTGAGTTTTGTTTTTACTTTGGACTTTAGTTGTGGTTTTGGAAAGAGTGCAGAAGCAATAAGGGTTCAAGAGGCTGAATCCTCCTAACTTGTGCATCTGATTAGCCTCCTGTAACATTCTGTGCTGTTCTGTAAACTTCTTTCCTTGGGAAGATCCCAGAGATGGTGCAGTTACAGATACATGGATTGGCTGAGATGCTGGGGATTATTCAGAGAGGAGGAATCTTAAGGAGAGATTAAATGGAGGTGGTTAAAATCATAGACTGCTACAATGGAGCATTTAGAGCAGCAGTATTTTCAGTGGAGGTTGGGTAATGGCCAGGGCAGCAGGGACTTGGATTCAGGTTACTGGGAAAAGAGGAAAAGTTTTTTAATGCACAGAGTGGTTAGGATTTGGAAAACACTGCTTGACTGTAAGTACTTATGGATCCAGCAGCAACTTTGGAAAGAGAATTGGATTAAAATGAGAAGGAAGAAATGGCTGTGGGGACATTGGGAAAGTAAGTGAATTGGATGCACTGGATTCCTTTAAAAAGAGCCAAATGCACACAAGGTTTTGGACTAACAAGGGAGGCCAAGGTTATCAGGACATGAACAGCCTCCTCCTGCTTCATGTGTGCACGTGTGTGCATGCTTGATATAGAACATAAAACTTAGAACAGTACAGGCCCTTCGGCCCATGATGTTGTGCCGGCCTATTATCCTACTCTAAGATCAATCTACCCTGCACACCCTATATTTTACTATGTGCCTATCCAAGAGTCGCTTAAATGTCTCTAAAGTATCTGACTCCACTACCACTGCTGGCAGCGCGTTCCACACGCCCACCACTCTCTGTGTGAAGAACCTACCTCTGACATCTCCCCTATAGCTTCCTCCAATCACCTTAAAATTATGCCCCCTCATAATAGCCATTTCCGCCTTGGGAAAAAGCCTCTGACTATCCACTCTATCTGTGCCTCTCATCATCTTGTGCACCTCTATCAAGTCACCTCTCATCCTTCTTCGCTCCAATGAGAAAAGACCTAGTTCCTCAACCTTTCCTCATAAGACCTGCCCTCCAGTCCAGGCAGCATCCTGGTAAATCTCCTCTGCACCCTCTCTAAAGCTCCCACATCCTTCCTATAATGAGGTGACCAGAACTGAACACAATATTCCCAGTGTGGTCTGACCAGGGCCTAGCATTCCCTTGGGATTGAAGATGTCTCACTCCCTCTCTGGTCCAGTGGCTTCTGAGGTGGCCGATAGTCCAGTGTAGACTCTGCCACATGTGGGGGGCATGTGGCACTTGGAGGGTTGGGAGATAGATTATTTGTGTGTTCTCTCCAACACCTCAACTTCACCTCCTGTATGTTCCCAACAATACCTCCTCAATGTGCTTGACTCCTTCCTGAACGAACCATTTTCCGTTTTACTTGTCACAAGCCAAGGCCTCCCATGAGTTGGCGGGGGGGATGTGTGAGCCACATCTGCAAGGTTTTGAGGACAGCCCTAAAGAGAGGGGGAGCAGAATGGAAAGGGAGAATGTAACCCTGGCATGGATGTGTAATGTCAGTTTCACCATGACCCTTCATCATTTAATTGTATTTACCATGTTTTAGTGTTGGATATATGTTTACATAATTTATTATTACATTTAATGGAAAATTGGTTACATGAGCCTCTGTTTTTGGGGAAAAAAAAACTTAATTATCTCGTGCAAACATATGAAATTATTGTATTGATCCTCACTGACCGGGAGGTAGAGTTTTGATTCCCGCTCTGGGGTATTTTAGTTGGAGGAGAGAGTGTGAGAGGCAGTAGTGTTATATGTATAGCAGAATTAGTGAGACCGATTGGAACACCTGGTGGAAGTGGCTTCAGGAGAGGAAGGGAAGTGATCTTTGTGGGGGGGGAGGTTGAGGGCTAATGGCTGTTTGCGACGACAGATTTGTTCGAGCATGTCATGTATTGTTGGGCAGATCTCCAACTAGACCTGTAGCATGCCAGGCCAATGTATTCCATTGGCATAGATGGGTAAGGTTCTTCCCCCAACTCCCTCACCTGACAGTTGAGCTTGACAAACACTCTCTGGTCCAGGAGCACCGAGGATTGCGCTCCTTTTTGGTAGGAGAATTGACCCTGTGGTCAGTGTCCTTCCTGCAGGTGTACAGGAGGATTAGGTAGGAAGGAGACTTGAGCCTGTGCTGGTTATTTTTATGGATACGATTGGGTTTAAGGCCAGCACTACCGCTAGATGGAGCACTGTGGGCACATGGCATTTTGTGTATAATTACGAGTTTGGAACCTTGGCAGCCAAGGGGTCCTCGTCTGAGTGAACTGATTGGACTTGGTCAGAAGTCACGCAACACCAGGTAACAGTCCAACAGGTTTATTTGAAATCACAATCTTTCGAAGCGCTGCCCCTTCGTCGGGTGAAGGTCACCTGCTGTCATGTGACTTCTAACCTTGTCCACCCCAGTCCAACACTGGCATCTCCACATCATGGTTGGAATTGAAACAATCTGGAATTTATGATGCTCAATAATCCACAGATTTGTTGAATTGTGCAAATTGAGGTGTCCCACGATCAGTACAGTCACATTGTGACTCATGACCACCTTGCTGGGCTGTTGTAATCAGTGAGTCGGCTTCAGAGTTCCAAGCCTACACAAAAGTTTAGAAAGCAGAATTGGGGAAGATTTGCAAGACCCCTTTGAATTATTGCTGGGACCCCAGCTGGAGTGTTATCACTCTAACAGGGACACACTGACAACTTCACACATCTCCTGGTGGATGTCTTTAACTGCACCGTACGTTGGGACCACACTGTATTTTTGTAAACATTCCTTTTGTTGTTGATGTGTTAAAATAATGGAAAATTATTATCTGAGCCTATGTTTTTTGCTGTATTCCATTTCTCATCATCTCTTCCATGACTATGATATTTTAAGCTGAAAATAAAGTAATTTAGTAAACTCAGATTTGGTGACAATTAGTTCTGATTTATTTGGTGATGAAGCATTAAACTTGGTAAAAAGTAGATTGGGCTGCAAATCCATTCTAACACTCACCCTTCCTCCTGCAAAAATATTCCTGAAGTGAGTTTGCAAACAAGTTAAATTTAACACAGAGCCCCTGAAGGAGATATTATTAGAAAGTTGGTCAAATGTTGAATTTAAAGAGTTTTAAAGATCTCCCTTAGCTTGCAGGATGCACAGAAGGTGCAGCAACTGGGAACGGACCATGTGGGGAATGAGTGGGCTGTGCACATATAATGATTGCCTTCAGGATGAGTATTTGTGGAAAAGTGTAGCAGCATAGAATGGATCACTCACTGCGACATGCCAGCTAAACAAACCTCAAAGTTATAGAGTCACAGAGTCATACAGCATGGAAACAGACCCTTCAGTCTAACTGCTCCATATTGACCATGTTCCCAAACTAAACTAGCCTCACTTGCCCTGTATTTGGCCCATATCCCTCCGAACTTTTCCAATTCATGAACTGTGCTCGCATTCATCTGGCAGTTCTTCTGGCAGTTCATTCCACAAACTAACCACTCTCTGTGTCAATACGTTGCCCCTCATGTCCTTTTAAAATCTTTCTCTTCTCCCTTTAAAAATATGCTCCCTAGTTTTGAACTCCCCTACCCTGGGGAAAAGACCCTAACTATTCACTTTATCTATAGCCCACATGTTTTAAAAACCTCTATAAGGTCACCCCTCAATCCTACGCTCCAGTGAAAAAAGTCCCAGCCTATTTTTATAACCCAAACTCTCTGTTCCAGGCAAAACCCTAGTAAATCTTTTCTGAACTCTCTCCAATTTAATAATATAGTTCCGACAGCAGGGGCAACCAGAACTTGCACACAGCACTCCAGAAGAGGCCTCACCAATGTACTATATAACCTTGTACTCAAAGGTCTGAGCAATGAATGCAAGCGTGCTAAACATCTTAACCACCCTGTCTGCCTGTAATGCAAATTTTGAAGAATTATGTACCTCAACCGCTAGGTCTTTCTGTTCTACAACACTACCTAGGACCCTACCATTAATTGTGTAAGTCTTGCCTTTGTTTGTTCTACTAAAATGCAATACCTCATATTTATCCAAATTAAAATTCATCTGCCACTCCTCAGTCCATTCACCCAAATGATCAAGATCTCCTTGTAATGTTAGATAACCTTCTTCTCTGTCCATTACACCACCGATTTTGGTGTCATCTGCAAACTTACTAACTCGGGCTCCTGTATTCTCAGCCAAATTGTTTAAATAAATGATAAACAAGAGAGAACCCAATACTGATCCCCATGGAACACCGTTGGTCACAGGCCTCCAGTCTGAAAAACAACGCTCCAATCTTTTAAACAAAAGGTCAAGCCTCCTGCCCCTGACTCCAACTCCATCAGACACTCCTGGGATGAGGATAGCACGGGGTAAGCCCAGAGCAAAGCTCACTCTACCCTTTTAAAACAGAAAAATAAAAGTTTCTCTGACTTTTGAACCAAAATGAAACTCCAGTGACCCTGGAAAAATAAAACAACAAACAAACAAAAAAAATGGCTTTTCTTGACTGCCCCCAAAAACCACTCTTGGGATAGGGGCAACAAGGGTCAAAATGTGAAGTTAATGTTTCTTGATAAAATGACAGATCTCGTCCCTCATCCAGGGGGTCAAAAATTGAAACAAAAGGAAAATAAGACAGGATAAAAATCGAAAGAACATTGGATGCTGTTAATCGGAAACAAAAACAGAAATTGTTGGAAAAGCTCAGCAGGTCTGGCAGCATCTGTGGAGAGAAATCAGAGTTAACGTTTTGGGTTGAGTTCCAAGGAAGGGTCACTTGACCTGAAACATTAACTCTGATTTCTCTGCATAGAAGTGCCATAGCTGCTGAGCTTTTCCAACAATTTCTGTGTTTGTTTCGGAAAATAAGGCAGCCTTCCTACTGGGGCACCAATCCAAAAACAAACATCTCAAGAGACAAAACGGAAATTTATACTATGGAAACAAAAATATTTACGAAAAAACATGATCATGAACTTATTCCAGATTATATTGAATTCAAATCTCACTGTCTTGCCATTGTGGGATTTAACCTGTCAACATCAGTCCGTTGAGGCCTGGATTGTTAGTCTCGTGACAATAGCATGATATCACCATCTCCCCAGTAAAACAACCCTCCACCAGTGTCCTCTTCCCTGCCCAGTGAAGCAGTTGAGGTTACATCGTTGAATGATTTTAAGGCTAAGAGAGACTTTTGAACAGTAAAGGAATTAAGAGTTATGGTGAGAGGGTGGGTAAATGAAGCTGAACCTTGTCAAAGGCTTCACTAAAGTTCAAGACAATCTTTGTCATAAAGGCTGAGAGGGTGAGGGAGGGAATTTGTAAGTTTAGGGCCCAGGCAGCTGGTGCTGCAGACAGAGACCACAAATTGTGCCAGAATTGGAGACCATAAGATATAGGAGCAGATTAGGCCATTCGGCCTATTGAATCTGCTCCATCATTTGATCATGGCTGATACGTTTCTCAACTCCATTCTCCTGGCTTCTCCCTGTGGTCACAGAGGGTGGCATGGTGGTTCAGTGGTTAGTACTGCTATCTCATAGCGCCAGGGACCTGGGTTCAACTCCACTCTTGGGTGACTGTCTGTGTGGAGTTTCTCCCTGTGTCTGTGTGGGTCTCCTCCTACAGTCCAAAGATGTGCAGGCTAGGTGGATTGGCCATGCTAAATTGCTCGTAGTGTTCAGGGATGTGAAGATTAGTTGGGTTATAGCGGGGATGGGTCTGGGTGGGATGCGAGGGTCAGTGTGGCTGAAGGGCCTGTTCCCACACTGTAGGGATTCTATGTTTATATCACTGTCTTAATGACTTGGCCTCCACCATCCTCTGGCTGAAGACATTTCTCCTCATTCAGTTCTAAAGGGTCATCCCTTCACTCTGAGCCTGTGCCCTCGAGTCCTAGTCTCTCCAACTTGTGGAAACATTTCCTCCATGTCCAATCTACTCTTTTTAACTTGAAGTACACAGAAAGTAAAGTCCCCTCAATACTGTCCAAATCAAACACTCTCAGTTCAGGGACAGCACGGGGTTAAATCCAGACTAAAGCTTCCTTACTCTTTTAAAACAGAAAGTAAAGTTTTCTCGACCCTTTTAAACTAAAAGGAAATGTCCTTCGACACTGTCCCCATAAAGGTCTCCACGGACAGGGACAGCGACAGATGCAGACCAAAGCTGCCTCTATTCGTTCGAATGAAAAGAAAACTGGAAGTAAAGTTCTTTTGACTCCAGCCCCATCAAACATGCCCAGGACAGGGACAGCAGGAAAGTTCAATACAGAGTAAAACTCTTTGACCTTAAAACTAAAAGTAAACTGAAAGTTCCCTCGACATCATTCCCATCAAAAACTCCCTGGGCACAGACAACATGGGGTTAAAATACAGAGTATAACTCCCTTGGTTCTTTTAGGAAGTCCATAATAAGAATAAGGACACAGCCCCTGCTAGGGCACTGTACCGATATCAAACAAATAAACAGAGTTATACAGCACAGAAACACATCCTTCATACCTGTCAATGCCAACTAGATATCTTAAATAAATCTAGTCCCATTTGCCAGCATTTGGCCCATATCCCTCTAAACCCTTCCTATCCATGTACCCATCCAGATACCTTTTAGATGTTTAATTGTACCTGCTTCCACTTCCTCTGGCACTTGATTCGATACACCCTCTGCATGAAAAAGTTATCCCTTAGATCCCTTTTAAACTTTTCTCTCTCATCTCAAACCTATGCCTTCTAGTTTTGGACTCCCCTACCCCGGGGAAAAGACCTGGCTATTCACCCTGCGCCTCATAATTTTATGCACCTCTATAAGGTCACCCCTCAGCTCTGAAGCTCCATGGAAAGAAATCCCAGTCTATTCAGCATCTCCCCATAACTCAAACCCTTTAACCCTGGTAACATCCTTGTTAAGATACAACAAGGTGCAGAGCTGGATGAACACAGCAGGCCAAGCAGCATCATAGGAGCAGAAAGGCTGACGTTTCGGGCCTAGACCCTTCATCAGAAAAGGGGGAGGGGAAGGGGTTTCTGAAATAAATAGGGAGAGGGTGGGAGGCGGATAGAAGATGGATAGAGGAGAGGATAGGTGGAGAGGAAACAGACAGGTTGAAGAGGCAGGGATGGAGCCAGTAAAGGTGAGTGTAGATGGGGAGGTAGGGAGGGGATAGGTCAGTCCAGGGAGGACGGACAGGTCAAGGGGGCGGGATGAGGTTGGTCGGTAGGAGATCAGGGTGTGGCTTGAGGTGGGAGGAGGGGATAGGTGGGAGGAAGAACAGGTTAGGGAGGCGGGGACGAGCTGGGCTGGTTTTGGGATGCGGTAGGGGGAGGGGAGATTTTGAAGCTTGTGAAATCCACATTGATACCATTGGGCTGCAGGGTTCCTTGTTAATCCTTGTTAATCTTTTTTGAACCCTTTCAAGTTTCACAACATCCTTCCCACAGCAGGGAGACCAGAATTGAACACAGTATTCTAAAAGTGGCCTCACCAATGTCCTGTACGACCGCAGTATGACCTCTCAACTCCTATACTCAAAGCACTGACCAATGAAGGCAAGCGTACCAAACACCTTCTTCACTACCTGTCCACCTGTGACTCCACCTTTAAGGAACTATGTACCTTGCACCCCAATGCCTCTTTGTTTGGCAACACTCCCCAGGGCCCTACCATTAACTGTATAAGTCCTGCCCTGATTTGCCTTTCCAAAATGCAACACCTCATATTAAAGTAAATTAAACTCCATGTTCCACTCCCGGCTCATTGGCCCATCTGATCAGGTCCTGCTGTACTTTGAGATAACCTTCTTCACTGTCCACTACATCACCAATTTTGGTGTCATCTGTAAACTTACTAACCTCCATCTGGGTCATTTATATAAATGACAAAATGCAGCAGACCCAGCACCGATCCTTGCAGCAC